TGGACAATGAATACAGAAGATCAGAGAAGAATTGATGTCTTTGCTGAGTCCAGTACAGCTAGATGGTACCTGGCTACCACCACTGACTGTTCTGACTGGGATCACAACAGAGGGTCCTGGACAGATCTGGAGAAGGATGTAGAACAAAATTCTAACACATAAAAAAAAAGACCAGATTTACTGGCGTGACAGAGACTGGAGAAACCCCGGGAGTATGGCCCCTGGACACCCTTTTAGCTCAGTGGTGAAGTCACTCCCAAGGTTCACTGTTCAGCCGGGGATTGGACAGACCCATAAAACAAAATGGGACTAATGAGGCACAGCAGTCCAGGGACAAGGACTAAAAGGCAGGAGGGGACAGGAAAGCTGGTGATAGGGAAACCAAGATTGAGAAAGGACAGTGTTGACATGTCGTAGGGTTGTTAACCATTGTCATAGGGCAATATGTGTACTACCTGTTTAACGAGAAACTATTTTGTTCTGTAAACCTTCATCTGAAGTACAAAAAAAAAAAAAAAGGAATTATCTATGTGAGATCAAACTGACAACAGCAACTCAAAAGGTTTGATGGGAAGCCTAGGGGACAGTGAGCTGAAGACAACGGTGATGGAATAATTTGGAAAAGGATTGTGAGAGTAGCATCACAACTGGAAGGACATAATGTCACTGAATTGTACATGTAGAAATTTTTGAAATGGTGTATCTTCGGCTATGTATATTTTCACCAAAAAAAAAAAGGTCCTCCAAGGTCGAGAAGGGAGAGTGTTGACATGTCATGGAGTTGTTAACCAATGTTTTAAAACAATATGTGTACTGACTGTTTAATGACAAACTATATGTTCTGTAAACCTTCACCTAAAGCACAATAAAAAAAAATTTAAAAAAAAAGAATTGATGTCTTCAAATTATGGTGTTGACGAAGAATATTGAATATACCATGGACTGCCCAAAGAACAAACTAATCTGTCTTTGAAGAAGTACAGCCAGAATGTTCTGTAGAAGTGAAGATGGCCAAGTCTTCATCTCATGTACTTTGGACATGTTATCAGGAGGGACCAGTCCCTGGAGAAGGACATCATGCTTGGTAAAGTAGACGGTCAGTGAATAAGAGGAAGACCCTTGGCGAGATGGTTTGACACAATGGCTGCAGCAATGGGCTCAAACATAGCAACTATTTTGAGGATGGCACAGGACTGGGCAGTATTTTGTTCTGTTGTATATAGGGCCTCTATGAGTCAAAGCCAACTTGACGGCACCTAACAACAACCATATGACCCTGAAATCCCACTCCTGGGTATTATTGCATGTATCAATAATTTGTTCCTTTTTATTGCTGAGTACTATTCCATTGGATAAACAGACTGTAGTATAGTCATACACTGGACTACCACTCAGCAATAAAAAGCAAAGAACTACTGATACAGGCAGTGACCAGGCAAAATCTCAAAGTCATTACGCCAGGTGAAAGAACCCAGTCTCATAAGATTACATATTGCTTGATTCCCTTTACATGGCATTGTCAAAAATACTAAACTATAATGACAGAAAACAAATGAGTGGTTGCCAGGTGTAGGAGAAGGGTGTAGCTATAATGAGATTAAAAAAAAATTGCCATGGCTCCCCCCTTGTTGTTAGGTGATGTCGAGTTTGTTCTGACTCATAGCAACCCTATGCACAACAGAACGAAATGTTGCCCAGTCCTGAGCCAGCCTCAGTCATTGCTATGTGTGAACCCATTGTTGCAGCCACTGTGTCAATGATATCCCTCGCTCCATGTCCTCTTCTGAATCCAGCTTGAATTTCTAGCAGTTCCCTGTTGAGGTACGGCTATAACCACTTTTGAATTATCTTCAGCAAAATTTTACTTGCATGTGATATTAATGATATTGTCTCATAATTTCCACATTCTGTTGGATCACCTTTCTTTGGAATGGGCACAAGTATGGATCTCTTCCAGTCGGTAGGCCAGGTAGCTGTCTTCCAAATTTCTTGGCATAGACAGAGTGAGTGCTTCCAGCGTTGCATCCGTTTGTTGAGACATCTTTATTGGTATCCCATCAATTCCTGGAGTCTTGTTTTTTGCCAAAGCCTTCAGTGCAGCTTGGACTTCTTCTTTCAGTACCATCGTTTCTTGGTTATACACTAGCTCCTGAAATGGTTGAACATTGACCACTTCTTTTTGGTACAGTGGCTGTAGGTATTGTTTCCATCTTCTTTTGATGCTTTCCACATCATTCAATATTTTGCCCACAGAATCCTTCAACAATGCAACTCAAGGCTTGAATTTTTTTCTTCAGTTTTTTCAGCTTAAGAAATGCTTAGCGTGTTCTTCTCTTTGGGTTTGTAACTCCAGTCTTTGTACGTGTCATTATAATACTTTGTCTTCTCGAGCCGCCCTTTGAAATCTGTTCAGCTCTTTTACTTCATCATTTCTTCCATTAGCTTTAGCTACTCTATACTCAAGAGCAAGTTTCAGTCTCTTCTGACATCCATTTTGGTCTTTTCTTTCTTTCCTGTCTTTTTAATGACCTTTTGCTTTCTTTACGTGTGATGTGATGTCCTTGTTGTCATCCCATAACTCATCTGGTCTTCAGTCATTAGTATTCAATGTGTCAAATCTGTTCTTGAGATGGTCTTGAAACTCCCTCCCTTAGAATCCTAGTTTTCCTCCTTGAGTAGTTTTGTTACTGCTTGTTTATTTTCTCCCTTTCTGGACCTTAAGTTCCTTGAGGGCAGGGACTGTGCCTTATTCATTTCCTCAACCCCAGAACTTAGCAGAGTGTACCCCACAGAGCTCATGGCAGACAACTAAACTGACATGTACATCACAATCTCTCAGGTGCTGAAACAGACATTTTTAAGGTGTTTTAGGAGCCACGGGAGGACCCCACCTCTCCACCTGAGCAGCTGGGAGCTACAGAAAAGAGAAACCCTATTGGTGATGCTTGTCCTCTGATTGGGGGATCCAAAGGAAAATTCCACCAAGTGCAGGGAGCCTCTTAAAGACCCTCCCAACCCTCTGGGTCTCCACTGAAGTGAAGGGAGAACACGCAGTGTATTTCTCCACTCACTGGAAAGGAGAGGAAGAGAACAAAGAATCACAGAGCGGAGAGCTTGGCCATCTGTTTCTGCAACATTTCAGACATTTGAGATTTCTTTCAGTTTCTTAAATGTGTGATAATCTTCCCCATCTCTGGACTCTTGAATATTTTCTTCCCTCAGCCTTAGAATGCTTTTCTCTTCTTCTTCCCTTCGACCAACTTCTAAATAGCTCTAAGGTTTCAGCTTTCTGAACGTCACTTTCTGAAGAGGAAGGCGGCTTCCCTTTCACCCTCTATTAGGGTAAAACCTATTGCCACAAGTTCCCACAGCAACCTGTACTTCCCCCTTCTGAACACTCACCTCATTGTACTGCCCTGTTTAGGGGCTGCTGGCTGCATCCCCTAATGGCCTCTAACTCTGTGACAGCAGGGACCACGGCATCTTGTTCCTACCTATTTCCAGGACTTGGCACCTAGAAGGTGCTCAAAAATGCTTGCTACGTACATTGAATTTCAATATTTACACAATTTCCTCATTTCACAGAGGGAAAAAACCAAGGCACATGATAAAAAGAAATGAGCTATCAAGCCACGAAAAGACATGGAGGAAAAGACACAAAGGAACCTTAAATGCGTACTGCTAAATGAAAGCAGTCAGTCATACAGTATACAGTCTAATTCCAAATACACGACCTTCTGGAAAAGACAAAATTATAGTGACAGTGAAAAAAGATCATTGGTTGCCAGAGTCTCAATAGGAGGGGGAAGGGAGGATAGGTGGAGCACAGGGCATTTTTAGGGTGAAGAAACTATGCTGATACTGTAATGATGGACACATGACATTAAGCATTGGTCAAAACCCTTAGGACTGTACAACACAAAGAGGGAACCCTAATGTAAACTATGGACTTTAATTAATAATAACGTATCAATATGAGTTCATCAATTGTAACAAATATACCATATGCATTAGCCAAAGCAAACCCTCTGCTGTGAAGTCGATTCCTACTCACAGCAACCCTATAGGACAGAGTAGAACTGCCCTATAGGGTTTCCAAGGCTGTAAATCTTTACAAAAGCAGACTGCCACATCCTCCTCCCACAGAGGGGCTGTTGGGTTCAAACCACCAAGCTCTCAGTTAGCAGCCAAGGGCTAACCACTGCACCACCAGGACTCCACCATAGCAATGCAAGCTGTTAATGACCGGAGAAACGGTGTGCAGGGCAGAGGGTATATGGGAAATCTGCACTTTCTGCACAATTTTTCAGTAAACCTAAAACTGCCCTAAAACAATAAAATCTATTTTAAGAAAAGGCACAGAGGTAGGGACGTGAGTTTTCCAATGGCCTCAAGTTAGTGGTGGGGCCAGACTGTGGTGCAGCGGAGATGCCTCCTCAGCTTGCTTCTTTCCTTCCAGAGCAGGTGATGGTCAATGCGGGCGTTGGTTTGTAATATTTCTCGTGCTTTTATTTCTTCTAAAATGTGCACAAAGGTAGAACTCTCCCAGGAACATTTTTGATTTGTGCAGGAAAAAAAAAAAAAAGACACTGCTGTGGAGGAGAGAAAAGAGGGTGCTTCTACATTTTTTCTCCAACTTTTATTTCGGAAACTTTCAAGTCTATAGAAAAATTGCATGAATAGGACAATCAACACCAATCTATAATTCATCTAGATTCATCAATCACTTATGTTTTGCTTGCTCTCTCTTTTTCTCTCTTGCTTTCTCTCTCTCTCTATATAAAACCAAAACCAAACTCATTGTTGGCATATCAATTCCAACTCATAGCAACCCTACTGGACAGAGTAGAACTGCCCCATAGGGTTTCCAAGGCTGCAAATCTTTACGGAAGCAGACTGTTATATCTTTCTCCCGAACGGCGGCTGGTGGGTTTGAACCATTGACCTTTCCATTAGCAGCTGAGGGCTTTAACCACTGCACTACCAGGGCTCCTCTCTCTCTCTCTCTCTCGCTCTGTGTGTGTGTGTGTGGAGTGTGTGTTTTAGGCACTTTCTTGCTCACTCTGTGTGTATGTGTGTGTGTCTGTATACTCTATACATACATAAACTTAATACACATACGACATATATACTTTTTTTTTGCTGAACCATTTAAGCGTTAATTGTAGACATTGTTAAGTTTTGTCCCTAAATACTTCAACATATATCTCCTAAGAGCAAGACCATTCTCCTACACAAATACAGCATAATTATCACAATCTTACAATACTATTAGTTAACGTACATCCACATTCAAATATCCCCAATTATCCTAGTTACATATTTTAAATCCAAGATTCAATCAAGGATCATGAATTGCATTTGGTTGCCATGTCACCTTAGCCTCCTTCGATCTAGAACAGTTCCCAGGCGACTTTATTTTTCATAATGCTGACATTTTTTAAGGGTCCAGGAGAGTTGTTTTGCACAATGTTCCTCAATTTGAGTTTGTCTGATTATTTCTAACTAAATTTAGAATAAATATATTTTGGCAAGAATGCTACTTGGGTGATGCAGTGGGTGTGTTTTCATGGCGATGCCTCCATTTTATATGTGAGGAAGTCCTGGGCCCAGACTCCGGGGACATTTCAGACCTAGATAAGGCAGGAGAGTGCATATGTGTCCGCCTATGTACCAGAATCACAGAGACCCCAGGGCTGGGCCCAGGGAGCCAGCGGGTAGAGGCCACAGCTTCAGTCTTGAAGAAATCACTCCAGGGATGGCTGCCGACTGCAGGGCACTCCTGCAGGGCAGCAGAGCCGAGGTGAGAACTTCTCCTTGCCACCAGGTGCTCCGAGTGGGGAGCCAGCTCTTCAGTCCATGGGTCACCTGCTGCGGCCACTCTCTGTTGATGTAGCTGCAAGGGAAACAAGAAAACGGCCAATGCAGTCACACCAGAGGGAAGGACAGCTGGGGGACAAGGTACAATGACAGAGGAAGCCAGAATAAAAAGAAAAAAAAAAAAAAACAGGCTGAAAGTGCAAGAGACAGAGGGGACATATACCAGAGAAGGAAGAGAAGCAGAGAGTCAGAGACACAGAGACAAACTGAGAGAAACTCACAGACACACAGAGGAAAAAAGGACCCGCTGATCAGCCTCACTAACAAGTTTCAAGTTGGTTTGTGAGGCTATTTGGCTTAGGGGTTTTGGAAAGTGAAGAGAGTTTGTGTTTATACCAGTCAGCCACAAAGGGCACGAGGGCTTCCCCCAAAGGATTGTGTGGGTTCACCTGCTCAGTCTTTATTTTTCCCGAACACAGAACTTCTCCTTTGTGCCCCAGCAGCCAGGCCCCAGGCCAGGCCCGGCTGGAAGTTGTTTGCTCTAGCTCAGAATGTCTCCCCTTTTTTCACAGAGCTGTCAGCAGATAGAGAAGCCCACTTGTGACTCATCCAGGGTGAAGAGAAGGAGCAGGAGAGAAGCAGACAGAAAAGAGGGTCCTAGAAAAGAAAGCGCACTAAAAATAGCCATCTCTCTCTGTGATCGGGGAGGAGTCCAAGGTCCCAGGAGCTGCCGAGCCAGTCGGGGCCTCAGCTAATAATAATGGGCCAGGGTTTTCTCACGAGAAAAGAAAGACAGGGTGGAGGGAACGAGAGGCTGCGCAGCTGCTAGGCTGAGTTGGGTAAAGAAGGGGCTCCTGAAAGCACCGATGGTTCTGCCAGGGCTAAACTTCTCTGGGTGCTAATGGGGAAGGGCTCCCACCAGGACATGGGTGGATAGAGGGGAGGACTTTCTGGCAATAACGTGCGCCGTCTGTACTTTCCTTTGGCAGGAAGAGAGGAGGAAACAACAGAGTAGCCAGGAGCCACGACCTCGGTGTCAGGGCTCTTTTTTTGGGGGGTAGGGGGAGCATCATAGCAAAAGCCAGGAGTCCCTGGGTGGTGCAAATGGTTAACACACTTGGCTGCTACTCAGAAGGTTGGAAGTTCGAGTCCACCCAGAGGTGCCTCAAAAGAAAGGCCTGGTGATCTACTTCTGAACAATCAGCCATTGAAAACCCTACAGAGCACAGTTCTACTCTGACACACATGGGATTGCCATGAATCGAAATGGATTTGATGGCAACTGGTTTGGTTTTAGCTGAACCCAAGCGAAGAAGCCCCTTTCTGCCCTCTGCCCTTGGCCAAAAGAGCAAACCCCAGTCCCTGAGTCTTACTGAGGAGGTTGAGGGGGGTCATGGGGCAGGACAGGACATCCCGCAGACTCCTCAGCCATTCCCGCTGCTCCTTCTCAGTGGGGCAGGTGAAGACAAATTTCCGCTGTGGAGTGACAATAGTGAGGCCGGCTTTCCAGTGATTCCCTCGGATGCCTTTGGGCAGGTCATCAGAGACGTCATAGCCCTGCTCCTTACTCCCAATAAAAACCTGGCCCTGCTCAAAGGCGTCCTGAAAATACATAGAAGGTGCACGGTTATCAGAGGCCCTGCCTTGTGCGGGGGACACCTGCAGCCCTGCCAGCTCCTGAGATGTTTTAGAAAAAGGATATGAAGTCCCCTGCTGGGATTTCTGCTAAGTTAGACCCAGAATTTGAAAGATCAAAAGCCTAAAATAAACCACGTGCATCATCTGTTAAAATAATGTTGTTAGCTGCCGTCAAGTCGGACTCTGACTCATGGCGACCCCGTGCACAACGGGACGAAATGCTGCCCGGTCCTGCACCAACCCCGTGATCAGCTGTGGATGGGACTATTGTGATCCGTAGGGTTTTCACTTGCAGATTTTCAGAAGCAGATTGCCAGGCCTTTCTTCCTAGTACATCTTAATCTGGAAGCTCTGCTGAAACTCGTTTGCATCAGAACAACACAAAAGTCTCCACTGACAGACAGGTGGTGGCTGCAGATGAGGTGCATTGGCTGGGGCTTGAACCCAGGTCTCCCACATGGAAGGTAAGAATTCTACCACTGAGCCACCACTGCTCCCTTGTTAAAATAATACTTAGTGATTTATGGAGCACTTACTTGGAGCCCTGGTGGCACAGTGATTAAGCGCTCAGCTGCTAACCAAAAGGTCGGCAGTTTGAATCCACCAGTCACTCCTTGGAAACCCTATGGGGCAGTTCTGCTCTGTCCTATAGGGTCGCTATGAGTTGGAATCGACTCGACGACAACAGGTTTTTACTATGCACCGGGAGTTTAAGTGCTTTATATGCAGTAACTCGTTTAAGATACAACAATCTCAGGACAGCACAGGTATTAAGCCTATTTTCCAGAGAAGGAAACTGAGGCACAGAGAGCTAAGTACTTGGCCCAGGGCATGCCACTGAAAGTGGTGGGGCTGGGACAGAAGCCCACATCCCTAACCACTCCACTTCACAGACTTGGGTAGAGGTGAGACCTGGAGACTAGAGGACAAAGCACAACTGATTTTACTACGGTTGGTAGCATTTTGGGTACAGGTAAAGGACTTCCTAAAGGCGAGAGGAGAGAAGAGTCTCTGTGTCTGAACAGTTTTGCACACAGGAGATGATGTAAGAGAAGCTGCCTACAGGCAAGGGGTGGAGCTGTTTCCCTCTCCAGCTTTCTCCAGCCCTGGGCTTCCGGGAGATGAGACGTCCATCTGGGGATGGACTGGGGAGGGACTAGAAAGGCTTTTTACCAGTGGGTTCTTGTAGTAGAGCAGCCTCCGCTCCTGAGAATCCAGGGCGAACCACCGTTTCTTGAAAGGTTCTCTCTGCTGCAAAAAACGGAACCTCTTACCAGAGATGCACAGCCGGGGAACACGTGCTGAGAATAGAGGTCAGAAGGCCAGCCCAGACCAAGCCAAGGAAGTGGTCTCCATCCTGGCCTCTGAAGCCAGAGACTCTCGCCCCTTCTCTGGGCCCGGGCAGGGGCCCTGGGGCTCTGAAGGTCTGCCCACCCTGCCTCCACTCCACTCCTCACAACTCCACCCTGCAGTTGTGCCCTGTAGCCCCAGATCCTGCTTTTAGTTGGAAGAGGTGCTTCCTTCTTTCTCAGGGTGTGGACAAGAAGTCTGAGAAAAAGGAACCTGGGGAAATCAGAAGTGGTCGCTGCTCAGCAAGGCTGAAAATGCTGGCTTTGGCCAAATTTCTAACCAACCTAGGTCAGGTTTGCCTGGGGCAAAGGCCATAGAGGAGGGCTGTGCCTTTGGCTGGTATGAAATCTGGCATAAAATGTGAAAGCCCTTAACCACATTTTCAACCTGTCAGAGGAGGCTTTCTTTCACATGGATTCCCTCACACCTTTCATCATAGACTTAACAACCATCCTGTCAACATATTATACCTTTAAAAAAATCACTGGAATGATTAGATCTCCCTCTGCTTTCTCCCTCCCTTTCTCTTCTCTTTCCTTGTTCCTTCCCTACTGCCCCTCCCCATAATCCATTCCCACCCTCCAGCCAGACTTCTGACTTTGAGCCCAGCCTCACCCAGCTTCAGGCTGGGGCTAAGGCCCCTTGCCAAGGCAGCCAGAGCCTCCACTCCTCTGGACCACCCACAGCAGCACAGAAGCTGCTGGGCCTTCCCTCCCTTCTTGGACCAGTGGCAATAAGCAGCCCTGGAGGTGGGGGCAGGTTCCAAAGCAACGGAGAGCAGAGGCTGAGTTTGGGGGAGGGAGTGTGTTCTAGGGGAGAGACGTGCACTCGTGGGCCCTGCTGGCACCCAAGCATGGGTGTGTATTTGTGTGTCGTTTTCTCAGACCAGTCACTAGTCCCTGTCTGGCTTGGACAGCACAGAACACGTGAGAGTTCTAGAAAGTGCAAAAGCTGCTTTCCTAGGGGTAGGAGCAGTCAGACGAGGTTAAAATGAAAGGAGAGGATGGCGATGGTTATAAAGCGGAGGTATCCCACTTATGCGAAATATCTAAGATAGGCACATGTATAGAGATCAAAGTTTATTAGTGGTTTCCAGAGGTGGATAGGTGGGACAGAGAGGGAAAGGGGGACTCACTGCTTAGGGGACACTGAGCTTCTGTTGAGGGTGATGGGAAAATTTGGAAATGGATAATGGTAACATCAAACCACATGATAAATATAACTAATGTCACTGAATTGTAGACGTGAAGAATGTTGAAAAGGCAACTTGTTACATATATATTTACAGTAAAAAGAAATAAAGAGGGGGAATGCCCAGTGACAGGGAGAAGCACTGTAGCATTGCTGGGTCACTCGCCAGCTAATCAGTCTCCACTTGGTCCTGCAGTCTAGGAGCTTACAAGCATTGCTTTGCGTCCCTTCACTTCCCTGTCACGCCCGATACCCCCACCTCCCGAATTGTGCCTCACTGCCCCCTAGAACAAGGGCTATGTAAATCCCCAAGGGAGTGGCAGAATGTACCTTTGGACCAGTCTTCTCCATGAAGCCTTGTTTAACGTAATTCCTGGTGATGAGGGGCACGAGCTGGGGGAAGAGAGACACACACTGACCCCCTCACTCACACCCCAGGGGCTCGAGGTTCCCCACTGAGCTTGGCTCCCCCACAAGAAGGAAGTCTGGAATGGGGAAGCATGTGAACTTACAGTAAACAGGGTTATATTTGGAATGTAGATTGGATGCAGCATTAATATTTCAACACAACCAGATGGCAGCACCCCAGATGTCTGCAGAGCTTACCAGCATGGCTGAGCTGGACTTGGTTTGAGGACTCTTTCAGTAACCCTGGAGTCCCTGGGTATTGCAAACAGTTAACGTGCTCGGCTGCTAACTGAAAGGTTGGAGGTTTGACTCTACCTAGAAGAACCTCAGAAGAAAGTCCTGGTGATCTACTTCTGAAAAATCAGCCACTGAAAACCCTATAGAACACAGTTCTACTCTGACACACATTGGGTCGCCATGAGTTGGAGTCAACTTGACGGCAATTGATTTTTGGTTTTTCAATAGCTCCAGAGTGTGGAGACAGGTAAAACTCCAAGTAGACTCTCCTACTGCCAGGAAGTACATTCCAAGGGCCTACTGTGTGTCAGGTCAGGTTCTGGGTGCAATTTTCACAAACACCCTGCAAGGTAGGTATTATTGTTCTCATTGTACGTATGAAGAAAGCAGGCCTCAGAGAAGTGGTCAGGGATTTCCCCAAAGTCATGCAGTTGGTTGGATGAAGAGCTGGGATCACATCCAGGGCTGACAGATGCTAGATAGTACTCCTTCACTGAACTATGATGCTAAAGTATTAACATGCCAGCCATGCATGCTCTGTGCCCTCTGGTCAAGACCTGGTCATTGTGGGGATCTGACACAGGGCCACGAGGAGATAGTGGCAGAGTGGGCAAGGAGACAAAGCTATGGACTAGGAGTCAGGAGCCCTGGGTTCTAGTTCCAGCTCTGACCTCAAGCAGCTGTGCTACCCTGGCAAGACCTTACGCCTCTCTGGGCCTATTTTCCCTTGTGTAATAAAGACACTGGATTATGTAATCTCCAAGATCCCTTCCAGTTTGCCGTCCCATGCTCAGAGTGGTCTTCTAGGGATTGATGTTGGCTTCACAGGCTCTGGGCTTCACAGCCCAGGGTTCTGAGAGCAGAGAAGATTCTCTAGGGCTCCAGGGCTCAGAGTGGGGCAAAGGGGAGTTGAGGTTTGGGGGACAAATGGGGAATCTGAAAGGGGAAATGTTGTGAGCCAAAAACGAAAATAAAAGCTCTACCACACCCTCTGCCCTAAAATATGTTCTATACGCTTTAATTCCTGCATTTGGAGAAAAGACAGAGTCCCTACCTGCTCAGTAGCCTAACTTGAGCCAGAGCAGGGCTATTCTAGGCTGAGGGAAACAACTGGTGAAAGAGGGAAAATCACAGGGATACTTACTGAGCCTTATAGGCCTTGACTTACTTGATTCTCACAATAGCCCTGGAAGGTAGGTACTGCCCCCATGGTGACAGATAGGTAAGCTGAGGCTCAGAGAGGTGAGGTGACTTGCCCTAAGTAATATATCAACTTCTCTGACTTTAGAGTCCATGCACTTCTCACACCAAGACCACGGCCCCACTGGGACTCCCTTGATTTCCGGCATCTGGGTCCATAGGTCTGAGAGCTACCCTGGCTGATTGCCCAGAACCTCACACCATACACAGAGATAAAGTGGGAGGAAAGAGAGGAGAGAGGTAGGCTGGGAGGAAACGGGGTGGGGGTGGGGGGTAGGCAAGGAGTAAAGAGGGTGGATGAGGGAGGCGTGTTGGCCAATGGCCAATTTCCTCCACAGGAGTCAGCAAAGTTAGAAAGCTAACCCAGGTTATATAAGGCTGAGCATCTGCACTTTGTCCTCCCCTCCCCCACTTCCGGTCAGCAGTCAGCACTTCCAACCCACTGCCTGCCCACAGGGAGCTGGTGTTGACTAGTCCTGGGTGCTGACTTAGCAGACAGGAGGGCCCTGGCCCAGGCCTTGCTGGAACTGTCCCCAGAGAACTGCCATCTCAGTGGGTCACTGGGCCTAGAGTGGACCCATTCCAGACACTTGTTGTTTTGTTAGCTGCTGTCAAGTTGGCCCTCGACTCATAGGGACCCCATGCAGAACAGAATAATATGCTGCCCGGTGCCGCACCATCCCCGTGATTGGTTGCAGATCAGACAGTTGTGATCCATAGAGTTTTTATTTGCTGATTTTCAGAAGATCACCAGGCCTTTCTTCCTACTCCATCTTAGTCTAGAAGCTTCACTGAAACCTGTTCAGCATCTTAACAACACACAAGCCTCCAATGACAGACAGATGGCTGTACATGAGGTACACTGGCTAGGAATGGAACCCGGGTCTCCCACATGGAAGGCGAGAATTCTACCACTAGCCACCAGTGCACTCCCAGACACTCAGCACCCCGCAAACCTGGAAATTAAGGAGCATTTAGGCTTTCATGGGGGGGCCTAACAGTTTGGAATAAGAAAATCCCAGGATTTACATGGCTTCCCTACCCCCATCACCTATAAATCCACTTGTGGGGGAGGCTAAAACAGGGACCAGTCCATAGAACCTCAGAGCTGGAAGGGGCTCTGAAAGATGAGTCAGACCAACCACCATCTTACTGATGTGGAAACAGATGCTCAGAAAGTCTTTGGTTTCCCTCTGTGGGGCCCCACCCCTAGGTCTCAAGGTCTTGCTTGCAAACAAACCCAGTCTGGTCTCTGAGGATCTTCAGCATGAGCAGAGAAGGAGAGGAGGAGGGAGCAGAGAGGAGACTCAGAAGTTGGGGACCACATTTAGCTTACCTCAGATTCCGGAAGCTCAGGAAAGGTCAGTTTTAGGTATTGCAGACGGGCTGCACGGAGGGCATTGAACCAGTCCACTATCTCCTGCCGGGAAAAATGCAAATAACAAACAGGCAGCTGGTGAGACGGGGAGCGCAGCCGGCCCAGTACCAGGAGGCTAGCTGGGTCATCAGGTTTGGGCACATGCATTCAGCCATCCACTCAGCACTTGCACCTGGGGATACGAAGAGTTTCAGGGGCCTGTGGGCTCATCACAGGCACCCAATTCCATCTTGTTGCGGGGGGAGGACTGACGATATCAGTGGACAAGGAGAATTTCAAAGCTGTGGGAAAAGACCAAGGTGAGCCACACGGGAGTCATACAATGGCCTTGCTGCTGTTGTTGCTAGTTGCTGCTGAGTTGATACTAACTCATGGCACAGAGTAGAACTGTTCCATAGGGCTTTCAAGGCTGTGACCTTTCAGAAGCAGATCACCAGGCCTTACTTCTGAGGCACCGCTGAGTGGGTCTGAACCACCGACCTTTTGGTTCATAGTCCAGTGCTTAACCATTTGCACCACCCAGAGACTCCTTGCAATGGCCTAGGATGGTGCTGTTCGTACTCTGACGTGCACACAAATCACCTGAGGGTCTTGTTAAAATGTAGGTTCTGATTCAGTAAGTCTGAGGTGAGGTTTGAGATTCTGCATTTCTAACATGTTCCCAGGTGATGCTGATGCTGCTGGTCTGGGGACCACACTTTGAGAAGCAAGGGCCTAAGAAAGCATTGTCCTCAAATGTCAAAGACTGGCTTTTGGGTGGTGGGCAGGTGCCCCTGGGGATGCTCCTTGCCTGCTGTGCAACTTAGGCTGCCTTGGACCTTTCTGCCATTGCTCTGGGAGAAAGCACGGCCTGCAAGTCCTGGCCACCATCATCTCTCACCTGGAGACTACACCAATCTTATCTAGCCAGCCTTGCCTCTTCTCTGCTGCTCTCCACTGGGTCCTCCCCACGGATGCCAGAGTGATTTTCTAACTGCAAATCTGATTGTCTCTGGCCTTAAGTCGTTTCCACTGCCTTTGGAAAAAAGTCTAAGATCCTTAACATGACTCACTTTGCCCTCTGAGCTCCTTCCATACAAAACCATTTGCAGTCTCCCTAACAGATGCTGTTCCCTTCTTCTGGAACACTCTGCCTTATATCTACCTTCATCCCACATATACCTTTTACCTAGAACATCCTACTCATCCTGCAGATTAGTTTAGATGATATAATAGATACAACTTTGGATGTCTGCTCAGCCCAAGCCTTGCTTCTATAAGAACTGTACCACCCATCCCTGCCCACCTACCACCCACAGCTGCATCTACATTTGCTACTATGATTAACCCCCTCCTTGGCCACAGCAACTGGACCAGGGCTGGACCAATGTAGAGGCTGGACTGGGCCTATCAGATTCTTTCTCCCAGGAATTTGGAATTGGGAGGCTGCAAGACTTGGTCAAATAGCTACAGTGCTAGGCTGTTATGTAATATGGTGATTGAGAAATTCATTTGAATATGGTGTCAAAGAAATGAAACATTATTTCCCTTTTCTTTCATAGGTCAAGCACCCAGGCCTGGTATTCAGGAGTTCGTAACTCTCTTGTCCCAGAGGTTGTTAAAAAACCTTGCTTTTCAGCACTAGGGGAATGGAACCATCCTAGAAAAGATCCCCAGGACTTTACATTGGCAGGTCTCCCAGTCACAAACTGGTGGACTGGGACCAAATCCAGCCTGCACAAATGCTTTGTCTGGCCCCCAGAGTTTTGTTTGTTTCAATCTTGTAACAGATTTTCCTATTTGCCACAACTCCCGTCACCCCCAACTCCTTATACCTGTCCACTTTACTCTTTTTAAATGACCTGCTTGGCCCCTGCAGATGTGAGTTTGCAGCCCCCACTTATGGCTAGCTAATGGAGAAGCTGGGGCAGCAAAGGAAAGGGGAGAATGGCCAGGCCCAGGTCATTGGACGCACCTTGCCTGGGTGAATGGGAGGCAGCCAGGTACCCTAAGTGTCAGAGACCATGGGAACCTCAGCAAAAGTCCTCATAACAGAGACTGGCATGGAGGGGTGGCCACCACCTTCTGGACCAAGCCAACCTGGACAAGGGGCAACAGTAGACAGCCCACCATGGGCTGAGAACCAGGAATCTCCTCCATGTCTCCTGGACAGCACAAGTTCCAAGATTTTGGTAAAATCAAGGGAGGGAGCTATGAAAGATGACTGATAGCCAAGTTCTCACTGACCTTGCGGAATGGAATCCTTGAACTTAGGAAAACAAAGAAGTGTGGCATTACCTGCACCTCTGGTGTTATGGAACAATTTGTGCCTGTTGCAAAGAGAGAATGCACCTCCCTTTCATCTGTCTGTCTGTCTGTCTCACACACACACGCCACAGTCTCTGATTTTAATCTCTCAGAAGGCCTAGTCATACCCCTGCCCTTGAAATACTCCCTCTATCTTTCCCACCCATGTCCCCTTTAAGCTAGTTTGTGTGTGCTCCTTTTTAGAGTAATTGCATGATTCTTAAACAGAAGCTCCTTTCTCTGGAAGGCCTCTATGACTGCCCCTGTCCCCCAGACTAGACCACTGACATGTCTTCTCGTGCCCCCAGCACAACTACCGCCCCATCACGCTGCACCTACTTCCCTGTCTGTCTCCCGATCTAGACGGAGATCCTTGAGCCCCACGACTCTGCCTTGTTCCTTACCACACCCCCTAGAACCAAGCAGAGTGATTTGCACATTGCAGGAGCTCCGTATGGATTTGTTGGAAAAGTGAATTCATGAATGAGTAAATGAGACAGGTTTGAAAATGCCCACCAGACCTTGTCTTTTACATCTGCCACAATCATTAGCAGATAACAACCAACAGCAACAAACAGTAGCTAATGTTGGTAATGCACCTCACTGTTTTGAAATGCTTTTACATTCATGGTCCACGGTCCACTCAACCCTCAAAACCCCTGTGGGAGGCGGATGTTATAATCCTGTTTACAGACGAGGAAACAGACTCAGGAGGGGAAGGGATCTGCCCAAGTGACACAGTTGGGGAGCAAGAAAGCCAGGGCTCCAACTTCTGACTCTAACCTCTGCTCTTCATACCACACCTTCTGGTGTCAGATCGCAGTTGGCAGGCCCCTGCCCACACTCTGGAGAAAGCATGAAGCCTGCTGAGGGGCAGGCAACCTCTAGCCTACCATCTGTGGTCACCATCTGATGCTAGAGCCCCTTGGAAGGTTCCAGTGCTTGCATCTGGTTTCTGGCTCCTGCTGCCAAGGGCTGTCACTCCAGCAGAGGCACACAAGATGGTGAAATGGGCGCTGGGCTCGGGAATCCTCAGTTGTGTGAGCCTGGGCCATAACTTGCATGGCCAATAATAACATGCCCAATCCTCAGTAACATGGCGACAAAAAGTTTCCAAGATTGTTTTGAGGATTAAGAAATGATGCGCAACAATCACCAAGAACAGCGCCTGGCACAGAGTAAATAAATACTCACAAAATGTCAGCCCCCACCTCATATCTCCCGCTTCCCATTTAGCACCTCTGTCCCCTGCCCAGTCACATGACCTTGCTCAGGATGTGAACCAGCCTATTCTCTTGAACCTATGTTAGTGCCTGCTCTTCTCTGACCGAGCTGATTTCCTGGACCTTTAAGCAGTGCTTCTCAAATTTACATGTCCACAGGAATCATTCAGGGATTTTGTAAATTGCAGATCTTGATTCAGTACGTCTGGGCTGGGCCTGAGACTCTAACAAGCTCCCAGGTGATGCCAATGCTGTTGGTCCACGACAACATGCTGACAAGCCAGGACCTAGAGTGCACTGCCGACCTGAGAGTCTACCCATTCCCCCTCCCAGATTCAGAATCTCTGGCCCTATTTGGATTTGCCATCCCTGGGCACAGTCCCCTCTGCTAACTGGACTCCTGTTGGTGATACCTGCCAGGTTCCTCTCCCTGATCTCGCTGCTCTGCCTTCCTCTTACCTCTGCCCCCGACCTAGAGGTGACAATAGATTAAGGCAAAGAGCAGTAGCAAATCTCAACAGGCAGTTGAGTATGTCACAAAATGAGCAAGGGAGTTCATGGGTTGGGCCAGCTGAGTCCTGGGGGGCTGAGTTGGAGGCTGGGGTGAAAATTACAGTCATCTCACCTTCCCACTCTCATGATACACAAACAGGTTCCTGGTGTGACCCTCTTTCCTGTAGGTGATCTGCAGCCCGTGGGGGTTCCCTATCTTTTCTGTCTGGAAGGTGGCATTCAAGTCCTTGATGCTGATGACAGCTTTGGGATATTTACCCTGAAAGAGAGAAAGAGGACAATCAAGATGCTGACAGTTAGCAGGGAAACCCAGAACACTAACTGACGCAGAGAAGGCATGGGAATGCATTGCTGCATTCCTACATAACTGATATGAGAGCAAAATTACCCACTCAAGACCTGTGCTGTCCAATATGGTAGCCATTAGCCACATGTGGCTATTTAAATTTATTAAAGTTAAATAAAATTTAAAATTCAATTCCTCAGTCACACTTAGCCATATTTCAAGTGCTTAGTAACTACTAGTAGCTAGTGACTACCGTGTTGGGCAGGGCAGACATAGAATATTTCCATCACTGAAGAAAGTTCTATTGGTCAGTCTTCTCTAGAGGGAAATTTGGTCATAGCTATTACAATATTGAGTGTTCTGGTTTGATCCAGCAATTTCACATCTAAAAATTTATCCCAAGGAAGTAATTGGATTACTATACAAAGGTACATGTCAAAAGATGTTCATTGCAGTTTGGCTTATAATAGCAAAAAAAAAAAAAAAGGAATTGATTTAAAAGTCCATCAATGAGAAATGAGAATGGGTTAAATAAATCATGATACATTCACAATATAAAATACCACAGAATATTGTTAAAGGATAATTTAGATCAGTATTACTAATATGATATCCATGTGTGAGAAATAATACCAGATCTCAGAACAGGATGTATAGTAGGAACTATTAATATAAACAACCATATGTGAGTATATGTGTATATAAATATCATATATAATATGCAACATACAATATTAATATATAATATCTTATAGTATATATTAATATATAAGGTATTAAATATTAATACATAAACCAAAAATCCAAACCCATTGCCATCAAGTCAATTCTGACTCACAGTGACCCTATAGGATAAAGTAGAACTGCCCCACAGGGCTTCCAAGGAGCGGGTGGTAGATTCGAACTGCTGACATTTTGGTTAGCAGCCATAGCTCTTAACCACTGTGCCACCTGGGCTCCATTAATATATAGTATCCTATATATTAACATATAATATAATGTATAATGTATGCATATTTGTATATGCATAAAAAGTATAGATGGATCTATAGCAATGTTCTTAACAATGGTTAAATTGGAAGATTACTGGCAATGAGCCGGTCTCATTGCTGAACCAGTCTATGTGCTGAAGACTCCAGTTCCTAACTCTCCCCAAATCTTCAGACTCACGAATCTAACTTCTTTCTCAACATCTCCACTTGGATGACTAATAAGCATCTCAAACTAAAAATGACTCTTGATCATCTGGTCAGGGAGCTAAGTCTGCTATCTCAGCAAATTTTTAAAAATTTATTATGAGAAATTTTAAAAAATAAAAAAAAAAATCTAATTTTGTAAGTAACCTTCCAGCCCAGCCCACCCTCCAGCTGCATGCAGCAGAGTGAGTGGCCCAGTTGATGCCTCATAGAACAGAAGATTCCCCCAGTCTAGGCCTGCCCAAATTCCTAACCCACAGGATTGCGAGAAATAAATATAGATATTTTAAGCCACTAAAGTGTTGATGTAGTTCGTTACACAGAAATAAATAGCTAAAACATTCAGTGCTCAGGCATCCTTCCACACCCCCATCTGGGTGATCCCAGCCAGTCCCCTTGCTGAACCAGTCTATGTGCTGAAGACTCCAGTTCCTAACTCTCCCCAAATCTCCAGACTCACGAATCCAACTTCTTTCTCAACATCTCCACTTGGATGACTAATAAGCATCTCAAACTAAAAACGACTCTTGATCATCCCGTAAGGGAGCGAAGTCTTTGCTACCTCAGCAAATGACACGTCTATCCTTCTAGTTGCAGAGGTCAAAATCTAGGAGACATCCTTGATTGCTTTTACTCTCATGCCACACATCCAATCCTTCAGTAAATCCTATCAGCTCTACCTCCAAAATATATTCAGAATCTGGTTTGGATCTTCTAACCACCTCCTCCATCACTCTTCCAGTCCCATTATTCCTCACTTGGGCTATTGAAATAGCCTCCAGACTGGTCTCTCTGCTTCTGGTCTTTCCTCTTCTTCCCCAGGAACCCTCCCTTTAAAATGCTGAAGTCAAATCAGGTCACTTTTCTGCTCAGAAACCTCCAGTGGCTTCTCATCTCACTCACTCACATTTTTACACTGCACAAATCCAAAAGCCTAATTTTGTGCAAATTATGTATCTTATGAGGGACTTGTATCTAGAATACATAAAGAACAATTACAACTCAATAATAAAGAGACAAATAGCTCAATTAAAAATGGGCATAGGCACATAAACCGAAGACTGCAACAGCCTGAGACCTGAAGAACTAGATGTTCCTGGCTACCACCAATGACCGCCCTGACGGGGAACACAGCAGAGAGTCCCTGTTGGAGAAGGAGAAAAGTGGGGTGCAGAATTCAAATTCTGGTGAAAAGATCAGACTTAATGGTCTGACTGAGACTGGAGGAACCCCAGAGAGTATGGCCCCCGGACTCTCTGTCAATCCAGCACTAAAACCATTCCACAGGCCAACTCTTCAGTCGAAGATTAGACTGGACTATGGGACATAAAATGATACTCGTGAAGAGTGTGCTTCTTAGCTCAAGTAGACGCATAAGACTAAATGGGCAGCTCCTGTCCAGAGGTGAGATGAGAAGGCAGAGAGGGTCAGGAGCTGGTTGAATGGACACGGGATATCAGGGGTGGAAAGGAGGAATGTGCTGTCACAGTATGGGGAGAGCAATTAGGGTCGCATAACAATGTACGTATAAATTTTTGTATGAAGAGACTAACTTGAATTGTAAACTTTCACTTAAAGTACAATAAAATGAAATTTAAAAAAATTAAAAATGGGCATAGGATCTGAATATGCATTTCTCTGAAAAAAATATACAAATGGCCAATATGCACATGAAAAGATACTCAACATCATTAGCCATCAGGGAAATGTAGAACAAAACCACAATGAGATACCACTTTACACACACCAGGATGTGAAAAAAGACAGATAATAACAAGTGTTGGCGAGGATGTGGAGAAGTTGGAAACTGTCCATTGCGGGTGGGAATGTAAAATGGTACAGCCACTGAGGAAAACAATTTGGCAGTTCCTCAAAAAGTTAAACATAGTGATACCATACAACACAACAATTCCACTCCAAGATATACACCCAAGAGGAATAAAAACCTGTGTCCACACAAAAACTTGTACATGAATATTCACAACAGCATTACCCATACTAGCCAAAAAGTGACAACAAACTAAATGTCCATCAGCTGAGAAACAGATAAATAAAATGTGGTATATCCATATGTTATTGTTAGGTGCTCTTGAGTCGGTTCCAACTCACAGCGACCCTGTGTACAACAGAACAAAACACTGCCCGGTCCTGTGCCATCCTCACAATCATTGCTATGTTTGAACTCATTGTTACAGCCACTATCTCAATCCGTTTCGTTGAGGGTCTTCCTCTTTTTCAGTGACCTTCTACTT